CTCGCTTTTGTCAGTTTGCCCCAGGGCAGCTGTGGCTACAACCGTAGCTGCCTCTACCAGTGTGTGAATGTGAGAGTGAATGAATAGTGGCATTGTGAAGCGCTTTGGGTGCCTTGAAAAGCGCTATATAAATGCAATCCAGTATTATTATACAGACGCTGATTGATGGAGAGCAGTTCAGCCTCTCAGCTGCTCCCCAAACCAAACAGATCGTCATATTAATCTGTGTTTTAGCTTTCATCATCAAGATAAAGATGAAGCTAAAATAAACCACCAGTCCTCCTTTTCCTGCTGTGTTACTTCCTGCAGTGCCACTTTAAAGTGAAGCGCTGTGCTCCTGAGTGTTTTCACCCTCTGAGTCGTACCTGCTGCAGGTGTGTGCAGAGAGCTCTTACCTTGGGTCAGGAGCATCAGCCCAGCAGCCAAACACATCACTTTGTAGAAAGCCATCGCTGTAAGATCCAAACATCCAGACCTGCCGAGGCATAAATACCCTCCCTCTGGCCTCCTTTTTGTCTGCATTAAGCACACCTCTCAGTTTCCTGTCTGGCGACACACCCAACGCTTCAATGCGGGTCACCTGATCTTCCTCACATCAAACATGTTGTATTAAACAGGAATTTCAGCTTTCAGGCAGCAACATTTTTACTGATGAGTAACTTATTTTTAGAATTAATTATTAATTTTACATCATGAAACCAAAATCCTGCTACAGACTGGAGTATTTTAAAAGCTGAATAATATAAATGTAAATGTTAAATGGCCTGTATTTGTGTAGTGCTTTTACTAGTCCCCCCTAGGGACCCCAAAGTGCTTTACACACCCAGTCATCCACCCATTCACACACAGTGCCTCAAAGCTATGTTTTATATTAATAAGTGCCATATAATTATATAGCATAGTATTAAGTGGACACGGCCCTGATAATAAAGGCCTTAGACTACGTGTCCTTTAGTGGTAGATTGTTGGAGACCCTCACCCACGCTTGTCTGCAGGAGTTGATAACAGGGAACCATCTGCCAGTAGAAATTTACTGGAAGGGAGTAGGGAAAGGGCACAGCCTCGCCAGAGCTGAGAAAAGATGTTGTGCAGCTAATAGACAATAACCTCTGAGTGCGCTGTGCAACGTGACTACTGAATGCCTGTGTAACACTGTTGTTAGGGGCACACCGCCATCACCAGATCCACGACAGAGTGTCATTCAAGATGCATCTCCCTTGTAGAAGTGATTTTGTGAGAGAATAAAGTGTAAAATGGTCTACTGAGCAGTGTGTTGTCTTCCATCAGATGCCTATGAGGAATCAAAAGAACAGTGAAGTGTTGATATTTAACAGTGTGCATTTATTCTCAGCCTCAAACGTCAGACCACAAACAAAAAGCCATCAGACTTCTGACTAAAAAGGCATCACACTAAACGCTCTCAGTCTTTATCTCAATCTCGAGTAGGACTTAAGAGGTGATAAGCTGCCAGGAAATACAGTGACAAAGCAAAGAATCTAATATGGGCGACATGAAAAAGGTGGAGCTGAGCAATCATGACTTCACTTAAAGCAACCTTTTCTATTTCCAAAACCCTGATGGACTCCCTGATTTTGGTTTGGGTCAGAAACTATAACCCAGCATCCTCCTCTGTCACACCAACCCTCTGCATGTCCTCCTTAAGTACATTCATGAATCTTCTCTGAGATCCTCCTCTTCTCTTCCTGCCCAGCACCTCCATCTTCTTCCTTTTGTCCAGTATATCCACTCTCCATCCTCTGCACATGCTCGAGCCATCGCTGCCTCTCTGCTGTCTCTATGATGGATTCATTTCTGATCCTGCCTTTTTCTCATGGCCACTGTCTCCAAGCCATACATCACAGCAGGTGTCACTACCATCTTGTAAACCTTCCCTTTCATTCATTTCATTTACCTTGTCCTGCCTACTTCCTTCATCTCCCTAATTACACTACTTTTTCTTCATTAGCCTCTTCCTTCGTATACTTTCTTGTATGTCCTCATTCCACCACTAAGTCTCCCTGCTCGCTTTCCTCTGTGTGGAGGATTCACCAAACGCCTTCTTGGCAGTTTCCCTCAGCAGTGCAGCTGCACTCTCCAGCTACCTGGTATCTGTTCCCTACAACACAGAACCTGAACTCGGTGCAACCTTCTTCCTTCTTTAACGTCAAACATTCTGTCCTTGCCTTCAGCTGCTTCCTAGTCTTGATTTTTAAAGTAATGCTTCAGAATACCATCTAATGCTGGCTAGTCACATTCTTCCTTCTGTCTCCTTCACTTACATGCCCATTAAAGTCTCCTCCAATCACCCCTCTGTCCCCCGTTGGACACTTTTTACTAACGTTCATTAGATCGATGTAAGAAGTGCATTTTTCTGATGTCACCTAATCAAATGTAGTTCAGTTTCATTGTGGCAATTATAATTTGCCCTGTCGTTTCTTCACTTAGATGTTAGATCTGCAGTGATATTATACTTTTTACAGTTAGTAAAGTCCACATAAAAATAACGGAGGTGGCCAGAACATTTAATTTTGCGCAATTTACAGTCCCAGATTATAATGAAGACTTCAGCTGACCTGCACAGGAAGAACAACGGCAGAACACCATCAGGTGAATGTCACCTGTCAACGTTCCTGCATGCTGATATTATTCTGATACTAATCTGTCAATCAGTGAACACCAACCTCACCCAAACTTTCAAAGAAGAAAGTGTACTTTATTGGTCCCCGTGGGGAAAATCGCTCTCTGCATTTAACCCATTCACTCAGTGAAGCAGTGGGCAGCCATTGGGCGCCCGGGGAGCAGTGTGTAGGGACGGTACCTTGCTCAGGGGTACCTCAGGGTAGCTGTTCAGAGGAATCAAACCCCCGACCTTCCGATCATGGGGCCACCACTCTACCTACTGAGCTATCCCTGCCCTGCCACTGCCACTCTGTGGAGTGTACAGCGTTTTTTGTTTTCCAATGATTTACATAATTCAGTTCCTGTTTTCCTTTCAAATTTACACAGCAGAGAATTTTTAATAATAGTCTAACTCAGACCTTCCCAAAGTGTGTGTGTGTGTGTGTGTGTGTGTGTGTGTGTGTGTGTGTGTGGGGGGGGGGGGGGGAGGGGGGGGGGTATGGGAAGGGGGGGGGAGAAAAAACAAAACGCTTGAACACTGCTAGCACAGTGCGCCCACAGAAATGCAAAGCAGGAGATGAAGCATCGCTGAATGAATATATCTAAGCCAAAGACTGGAAAATATGGTGAAGCAAATCTTCCCTTTGGCTTCACCTGCACAAGTGCAGAGGTAGGTCTCCTGCAGAACTGGTTTTCCCTGCGTCGAGAGCAGCGCTGGGCTGTTTAAACCATGGACAAACAGGATCCCACAGCTGTTCATGCCCATATGGAAAAGAAATAGTAAAAACATATATGATTTACTCATGAAAGTGGCCACTTTCTCATTACTTTCATATATTTTTTTAGTAAGTATACAAAACATACAAGTTTCATTGTATAATTTTTCAAGGGATCTTATATCTGGTTTCACTCTTGTATTCTTTTCATACAAGTTTCATACAAGACAGATAAAAACTTTATAAGATTTATATATATCTTTTCCATATGGGTGTTTTTGGACCCACTTTGCACAGAGAGGCATTTTTTGAAAAATGCATTGACAGCAATGTTGAATATTATTACACATACAGTAAAATAATCACACCGTGATGCCTCTGCCTTTGTAAAAGGAGGGACAGTAACTGCGTGTAAAACCTGCAGACAGTCAGATTAACAGTATTTTGTCTCTATCTGCCATTCTGCAGTTCATCTCATGTAAACAATAACGCGGCGCACAGCGTGTCGTGAATAAAGGCACATACCTTTGACGAACTCTGTATTCCTCGTCCACACGTAAACGCAAAAAAGGAGTTTTAAAAAATCTCCGTTTTCAGTTTCTTTGTTATTCTCATTTAAAATTTCCAGCTTTTATTAAATAATTATCTGAATCTTACAACAAACGATTGATAGATTGATGCATATATACCACGAAAACAGTGAACATCACTGTCACAACAGTGTTTGTTTTCATTCAAAGGCTTTATGGTTTTTCCTATAATGGTGGCCGGTCTCTAGTCAAAATGCCCGGGACGATTTTTTTGTCCCAGTCCAGCCCTGTATGCAGCTCATCTGCAGCATGGTGTTACCTACATCCTCCTACTCAGAAGGCAGCAGTTCCTGGTTAGGTTTTGTATCATGATTGTAATTTAGGAGTGTTTACTATTTGTATACTTGAACACTGCTTGTTCTGGTGTCCATGTGGCTCAGAAATCGCAAAAGCTGATAGAAAGCACAAAAACAGCAACATTTTGGTCCTGAGTGGCCGACCTCCGCATCACCTCTGAGGTCTTCCTCTTGTCCTCCTGTCTGGCAGCTCCATCTTTATCATCTTTTGTCAAGTTAACCACCCTCCCTCCTCTACACATGCTCAATCCATCCCAGCCTGTTTGATTCTCAATTGTCCCACTGATGGAGGAATTTCCATCCCACTCACTGCCAGTGAACATCTTAACATCTTTAGCTTGACCTCCACAACTCCAGTGCTTCACAACAGGTCTCACTGCCATCTTCAAACCTTCCCTCTTGCTGCTCTCCTTCTGTCACAGGTAACCTCTGATACTTCACCCTCAGTCTAAAACGTCAGGCTGAATTCTCTCAGGTGTGTAAAACAGGCAGGTGTAACATTAAAACACAGACAAAGTCAAATTCCTCTGATGTTGTAAAATTAACAAATGGTCTGTGGCCGCACCACCCAGCTCCACAGAATTATCCACAAGTGCTCCGTTCTCCTCCAGCTGCTCATCACTGATGCATCCAACCTTGTAGAGTAAGAGTTTAACAGAATCTCTCTCATTAAAGAAGCCTAACACTGCATGTGCACAAATCCACCAGTAGGGGGCGCTGAAAGCTGTCTTTTCACACTGCACACGATTCAGTTTGTGTTATTTCCCACAGGACAAAGACGGTGTTGGCTTTTTAGTTTTTCCCAACATTTATTAACTTTCTCCCACATCGTTGTTTACATAGTAATCAAATAAAATACTAAAACTGACAGAAAATAAAACCTGCTCCGTGTTATTTTCATGTGTGTGATCGTAACGAAGTGTAATTTGACTCTTTTTCATGCCCTGCAGTCAGCTGCTGATGTTGGGCCTGTGTGTGTTTGAGTTGTATTTATTTACACTAAATAATGCTCAGCTGTATACTGTCTCAACAGCTTTCCAAGGCTTTCCGAAGATCAGTTAGAATTTCCCAAATATGGGATAAATCTAGGCTTTGATCTTTTTTCATGTTATCTGGATATTTGTGTGAAACTTTTTATTGTGTGTTTATGTTTTATGTTCATTGTCCAAAGACAGCCGTAACCCGATGGTCATGGCCCTGGGTCTGGTGACCAAGTGTTATGTTTTTGATTATTAACAT